CAAATACAACATATTTCAACTGAAACATATAAGTTTTTCAATTCAAAAAACATTCAAACATGTTGTGGTGAGACTTGGTGACCAAAAAGTGACCGACACCACATTTTTCAGTCCTCGGAGAGCTTTACCAGCTAACCCTTAAGCTAAATGGTTAGCAAATCAGCTAACCACTTAGTAACCTAGGGTTTGTTGAAGTGGCTAACCTCTAACAAACAAGCTAAGAGGTTAGATAAACGATATAAAGTTTATAGAGGTTAGCCTCAAACCTAGAAGTGGTTAGAGAGGTTATAAACCATTACTAGAAGTTATAACCTACTTACTAGAGCTTATAACTAGCTTATTGGAACTTATCTAACCATTTATAACTCTTCTAACCAATAAGATCTTCGCGGGACATCCCAGCACCTGTTTGCTGATGAGCTCCTTCGCCCTGTCGGTGTGCAAGCGGTTCACCGCTACCCCCATGGCCTTATACTTTGTGATCAGCTTCTGCAAGCCGACAATCACCTCCGCCTTGGCCCGGGATTCCAGCACCTCCATGCAGGTCACGTGCTTCAGAGGGACTCCACGTTGACATGTCTGGAGCTCCGCCTCAAAGTCATAGTCATGGGTCGGATCCATGATGTCCTGTTCCTCCTCCATCACCCCCACATCCTCCCCCGGTTCTGATGCCACCACCCTCTCCGGCGTAGGGTCCTCCTTGGGTGTAATCACGTTGATCCTCCGCCTTCTCATTCTCCGCGACGTCCTTCTCCGCCGCGTTTTCCTCCGCAACGTCCTTCTCCGCCACGTCATCCTCCGCCACCGCGTTGAAGTCCGGGACCAATGCCACCGCGATCATAGCATAGCGAACACCCCGCCCTGAAGCGCCATCCCGTGCCATAGATAGCGGGCCCACGATGTCCACCGCCACGGACCATGCCGATGACATTCTTTGGGTGTCTCCTCGACGTCGATGCGGTCTTTGGGTTCCTGCCTGCTCAATGCAAAGCCTGCAGTCCCTGCGAAAGGGTCGATGACCTTGGCGAAAGTGCGTCGCCCACATGTCCTTTTCCTTTTGAGACAGCTTGGCTATCCTTCGTTGTTGCTTCTCACCCTGCTCCAACACACACCGGAGGGACTCCTTGATGGCCGCTCTCAATCCTGGCGCCCACAAAGACCAAGACTTTGATGCCTGAATGCTGGCTTGTAGGTCATCAGGAAGGGGTTCATCATCACCTCGAGCTCGAAGTCCATGTAGTTCCATCATCCCTGGCATGTTGGTGAGCAGCGATGTTGGTTTCTTTTTGAAGTGCCCCACGGCACCTATAGGGTGACCATTCCCATGGACTCCTCCTCCAACAAACCCAAAACTTCCGGCCAACTCCAGAAGGACGGCATTCGCCCACCATCCCCCACCATCTTGGCCGGGTCCGCTGGAGACTGCAAGAGAAAGCCCGTATTAGTGCCCTTTGGTCCACCCAACTCCACCTTGCTTTCTTCCGCGGCCAGATAGAGTCCAACCTGCTTGATGACGAGGGCCGCGTCGTGGTCCGCCAACCGCTGCTCTGCAACGCTTAGGTTCGGTAACCCAAAACGATGTGCTCCTCGATTTCGAAGTGGCCTTGGGCCTGGTCGCCTGAATCGCAGCCTCGACACTGTTCGGCACGGGGGTCCACCTATGATGGCTGCCAAAGTCCCTTGCCTGGCCAGGCGCATCAAGAAAGCCCACAACACCGGGTTGCGCAGGTCCTGCGACTTGTTGTGCATGATGTCCAAGGTGATGACCTCGCAATCATACTTTTTGAGCTCCTCCCACTCGTCGGCCTTTTCCCCCGCGAAGAGATGAAGCACCACACGTTTAGCCGCCAGCAAACGTCGTCGCTGCCGTCGATTCCATGGACCACCAAAATCGTGCTCCTCCGTCATGTACCGGAAGATCCTGGCAGGAACCTCAGGGAAGCGTTGGCTCCACCAAGTCAGCAGCTCCTCCTCCAAGTTCTCCTCCCGGTAGACATCGTCATGTTTTTTCCTCTCCACCTCCTCGATCTCCCGGATGAGCAGCAGGGCATCTTCCTCCAGCACCACGGGACAACCTTCACGAAGGCGAGAAACGATCTTCCCCTTGGGGGCACAACCACTCCTGGACCACACCATCTTGTAGCCCAGCTCAATCAACCCTCTGACCGGCACGATGGGCTCCGCCGCGTCGGCCGACAACAATGTACCCGTCACCGGGTCTTGGTGCAGCATGATTGAGCCATGTGCCAACTCCACATGAACCCAGTTCACCAGGTAGAGCTTGACGAAGGGGGTGAGTTGCACCACCATCCAAAAGCCCCAGTGCGGTGCCCATATCCAAGTTGCCACCCACGTCCATGAACTTGAGCTTGATGGCCTTGACCTTAACACTCCGCAATGACTTCAACAAAGCCGATGCCTCCCCCATCAAGGTGTCAATGGACCCCGACTTGCTCGGCATAGGACCCCCTGCAGCTCCGGAACCGCCTTCCGCCTCAGTCTTCTTCCCCGAAGCTCCAGTGGCCTCTTCAACCTTCACTTTTGGTGGCTCCCTTTCCGGCGAGGAAGGCTGCGAGTCACCCCTTGCACCTTAGCCACCTTGACATTCCCCTCCTTCCCGAACTCCTTCTTCACATACGGACAGTCACGCCGCGTGTGGTTGAGGCCGGAACAGAAGAAGCGCCGATTTTCCTTAGGGCTAAGGGTGCCATGCTTGAACTTGCATCGATCACCTCGTCGACACCCCTTGTCCGACAACCAAAAGCGACAGTCGCCCTTGAACTCCACCCCAGCGGCCTTGGACTCCTGCGCATTCACCGTCGCCGAAGTCGCCGTCGTTGATGAAGCCCCCAAAGCTGCTGCCTTCACAAACGGAACGGTCGTTTTTCCCGCTCCCCCAATTCCTCCAGCGCCGAACGCCTGCTCTTCGGTCTCGGCCTGCAGCAGCTCCGCGAAGGTTTTGATGGAGTCCAAGTTGCCTGCACACCGACAACCGGTATGCAGCTTGCGCACCAGACTTGGCAATGGCGTCCGAGGCCCGAGTCAAAACACCCGCCAAGATGACAGGGTCTGGCAACATCACCGCCAACTCCTGAGCCCGATTCCACCATCTCCGCCATTGACGCAGGTTCTGCGCCAGTTCAACCATAGAGCCCGTAGTTTTGAGCTCCGTCAACAACCGGATGAGAGTAACCCTCTCACCTTGTCCGCCAGGTTGGAACTTGACGAACAGCGTGAACAACAAATGGGTCACGCTCAGCTTCCTCGCAGCCACAGCCTCCGCCTTGATGTTGTCGGGGACCGCCTGCAACAACAAACTGGTCATCCTCCGTTCGGTCCTAGGCCACCTTGTAGCCGCCGATGAAGTGCCAGTGTCCAACCGAAGACGTTGAAGAGGATCTGAAGCCAACCATTGGGTATACAGCTCATCAACTCCCTTCAAGGTCACGGCCCACCATTCCTCCGCCGACACACTCACGTCCGCAATCAAAGGCTGGATCGTGGCTAACCAATCACCGAAAGACAGTGCGTTGGCGTCCGAAGGAAGTGCAGGCAATTCCACACTCCGAAAGGTCTCATTGACCGATTCCTCACTGCCACCATACATAGGGGCACCACCAACCAGGCCAGGTCCATAGTTTCCGCCACCTCCACCACCATTGGGCGATAGCCCGGTAGCGCCCCATCCGCCTGGTCCAAACTGAATTCCAGGGGGATATGGCCAAGGGAAACATACTCCAGGTCCAGGTCCTTGAGCGGGTCCAGGTCCAGGAAGATTGCCTCCAGGAGCCGGAACACCACCATTGTAGTCATAGTTGAGGATGAAGCCACCTGTGTTCCAGCTCCCGAAGGCTGCCGTGGTCCCTCGGTTTCTGGCACCTGCTGCTTCCCATCCCCTTGTGTTGCGCCTCCAGTCTCCGCGGCCGTCTTGAACGAAGCATCGGAAGGCGGATTGCCTCCTCCCAGCAGCTGTCGCACACCATCAGCAAAACGCTGTTCGGCATCACGGAGAACTCGTTGGCGTAAAAGTTCAACGGTTTCACCCGCCTCTTGGCTTTGGCTCTGCGGGGGATTCATGGTCTGCTTGATCTTTTCGGCAGACCAGGCGATTGTTGCCTCGACATGGCACCCACGGCCACCAAATCACGCCCATGCTGTCCTCCAAGTTCAGGAACGGGGCCCGGAACACGGCAAGGACGAAGAGCTTGATCAGGCTGAGGTCCCCCACGTTGGCGTTCTCGATCACCATGAGATAGCTCCGCTTTTGACGTTGAAGCCCCTTCCGCCAGCGCTCCTCCCTCACGTTCACGACGTCCTGGAAGGATGGGCAACTGTCCTGATGCATCCGGGATACGGGCCCTGTAGAACCGACCACCCACCAGGCAGTTGACCCCTGAGCTGACCTTGCATCACTTCCGCAGCCGCCATAGTCCCGCTACCAAGAAGACCTCCTCCAGGTAGAGGTGGAAGTAGTCCTGCCAACATAGTGCCAGGCGGTGGTTCCAACTGCCGTTGGCCCGTCTCCGCACCCGTGGTCCGAGGATCCGTCCTTGCCCCTCCTGGTGTCCCTGCGGCTGGAGCTTGGCGTGTGCTCTTCACCAAGGCCGGTCTTCGAGCGCTAGGCTCCGCGCTCTGTGTGCGTCTGGCTGGCGTTTGTTGTGCCAGCAGCTCATCCAGCCTTTCATCGGCTGTTTGCTGTCTCTCCTTGGATGCAGATCGTCGCCGGCTCAACATGGATGTCATGGCGCCGCTGACCGCTTGGGCTCATAACCCATGCTTCACGAAAAGCGGTCCTGTTTTCTTGAGCCAAACACGCAGGCAGTTAAGCCTGTGGTCTTGTGTACCTAGTTGTACACTTCTCGTTTTGTGCGTTCTGTTTCAAGATCCGCACGTACATTCGAGCCTATCGGGTATCCTCAAGCTTGCTGTTGTTAGCCATGCAGACTAAGCAAACCTGGAATGCCATGACTTCCAAAAAGCACGACATGACATCATCCCTCCTGGAATGCCATACACGCAGCCATCTTGACCCAGTTCGCCACCCAGCCACTTATCACGGCCCATGCAAACAGCCTCAAGCTCAGTGAGGTGAAGCTAGCTGGGCGCGCACATGCACATGCCCCAAAGCACTTCAGCTACTCTAGCCCTTTCTTTGGCTTTCCCAAGATGGGCGAAGACCGTTGCGGCTGTCTTGCTGCTTTTTATTCACTAGGCTCTAGGCCAGGCCTGAATTAGCTGCTTGTAGCCAAGCCAGCCAGATCAGTCAGGATTAAGAACAAGTCACAAAAGTTAAGGACCATTCCGATCGAAATGCCCCTACAATCTCGCCACATGCATACCTTGCAATCATCACAGCGCATGATTGGGTTGGCCGAACGAAGGCGAACAAGTTCAGGACGGATTTTCAAGGTTGCTTCCAACAAGGTGCATCAAGAAGCTGCACCTCACAGTGCCTCCGGCCCCACCTGAGATGTGCTGCATGAAGCAAGTGGGACGGGCACGGAAGGAAATTAATGGTAAATGATGGGGTATCACGGGGTCGGCTGACCGAACAGCTGATTGGAATGACTTGAATGGCTCTCCCTCCAACGCGCTATTACCTTCTCACATTAATCGGTGCCGGGCTGCAGGTTCACCAGCACATGGTACAAGTCCCACAAACCACAGCAGCTTGGCATTGCAATTTAGGAGGGAAATCTTGGAAGACCCTGGACCATGACGCAGGGATGCCGTGAAGACTTGACTTTGGCTTGCTTGCGAGCATAGTACAGTAAGTCAAGACAATTGCAAGTGACGCGATATCATATACCCATTGACATCTATGCGTTTTCATAAACATTAGTGTAACTATTGACATGCTATTGAAAAACTTGACTTGCGTAATGTTTCATGCACAAACGGTGCAAGGTCCAACTTGGTCTGACTGATGCTTGGTAGGAGGGACACTCTGTCAGCTGTTTTGCCGGCGTCACGGATAATTGTAATGTCTGAATACGCTGACCCAAAACCTTTTTGAGGTCGGGCCGAGCAAGGGCCAACAAGCTTTTAACAATGATAGAACATTTAGGAACATCAAACAAGTACGGCCCTGTGCACACAGAAACAACCAATAAACATAGCTGCAGGCCCTGTGACCGACAAATGCTGTGACCAATGCGAGTCTTGGCGAGAATGCCTCGCATTCCTGGCTTTGACTTGGATCTTCCAGTCAAAGCCAGGACGGCAAACATGCACCCTCGGCACTCAGGAAACACTTAAGTCACAAGCAGGTCGCACTGCCTCTTCAGACTTTCTAAGTCATTTGGCACGAGACAGGATAATCACAAAGAGTGAGACACAAAGCTCAAAGGACTACAATTTAATTTGCACATAGCGTCCGTACAAACCCAATGCACAAAAGCCGCACGGCACAGAACATAATGATATAAGTAGAAGGATATGTTATAACACTATGTTTGTTCTTGTGGTGACAAGGGAAAACTAACTGAAAAGAAACGTAGGCGTGAATTTGTTGAACACATGTCCTTGGAGCATATCTGACTTGCCACATCTTTGAGGTGGCTGAGGCAGTCGTTCAATTTCTTTGCTGTTGATTGACCCCCCGGCCCTCATCATCTGCCCAATAACGGGGCTAGAGTCTCATTACTGAGGGAAGGAATTTCAAGTGTTGCAAGCCAGGGCTGCCAAAATGCATCCCTGTGCAAAATGTGCAACGGTCCATTTCGTTTGACGTGGCACATTTATAACATATATATACATTATATGTGATATATATATATATATGTATACCATACTTCATATATATATATATTCTGACAGCCTTATGACTGCTGAGTGGGGGACCTACTTGGTGGCCCTCTTGTTTAAAGAAGCAGTCGCCCTATAAGTATGTAGGCATATAATTCAGTAACTAGTTACATATGTCAGCGGGGCCTGCCCACAAAAAAATGGCTAGTTCGTAGGTAAGTGCTGTGAGATCCGTGTCAATCAACAACCACCGCGAGTTCTTCGCTGTGCCTAATACGCGCATCCATTGAGTGAATGAGAGACCTCATCCACAGCAATTCATCTAAATTGTTTCATCTTCGGGCTTCCTATTGACCACACTTCTTTGACTCTTCCAGGTGCTCACTCGCCTCAAGCCCTTCCTGCGAGAGCGCTGGGCTTCAGCGGTTTCGATGTCGGTCCCAAAGCCAACGCGACAGCACATGCCTGCATGAGCAATCTGGTGACTGCAGAAGTGCATCGAATTGTGGAAATAGGATGAAATAGGAGCTTTGTTGCTTTCCTATTCGCAGTGACGCTTCCAGAAACAGTGACAGTAGTGGTGGAACATGTATATTATGGCCAGCTCCAAGGCAAGGCCTTTGAACTCATGTCTGCTTTATTGCATACGTATGGGATCAATTGAATCGAGCATGCATCAGTCTCAACATTAGGTAGTGTTCGGTATAACCTGGGAGACATTGCATCGGACAGCCTGAGGGGCACTAAAGCTTGTATCAAAAATAGAGTATATTATATATATACTAGCACCGGGCACCGCATACCAGCAATATGTGTCTGAAATCCTGACATGGTGCTTGTGGTGTAGACGACAAAGGCAAAGGCGGAGATGGAACCGGTCAGGAGGAAGGGGCCCAAAGGCTCTAGCTCATAAAGAGCGAATGCCACAAAACCCCCAAGCACACAGCCAAGGGAATCCGCATTTCTGCAAAGCACTTGCCTGGGTGGACTTGCGCTTGGTTCTCTGTTTTGGGGAAAGTGCCCTGCAGAGGGCCAGCTAGGCAAAGAAGGAAGCACATTCTTGTATGTAGATTCATTCAGAACAAAGGGGTAGGACACGAGGTCACATGTGCAGCGGTCAAAACATGCGAGCCATTCTGCCATGGTATCGCTCTTCAAGGTTCCCTATTGCTCCATAATTGCAGCCATACAGTCCCAAATAAAAATGAAAGAACCCCACAATCTCTCTCAAACCTGAGGATTCTTTGTGGTTCCTCTTAGGAGCTAGCACGCGTAAGCCATTGTTTCAACAAATTGCAAAAACCTTCGACAAGCTCTTTGCTAGGTGGCATGAGGAAACACTAGTAGCGTTAGTGAGTTGTGACTCTATACGTAGGGAGGTGGCTAGGACTAGACTCCTGAGGTGTCGCTCCAGGTACCGGGCGTGCCACTTGGTATTGGTTCGGGTATCGCTCTAAAACCCATGTTTGTCCAAAACATGTCGAAGTATCATTGGAGTATTCCTGGAACAGGTATGGCTCTTCAGGGTTCCCTATCGCCACACGCAGTAATGGCTAAGCTTTACAAAGACAATGGTGGGTTACCTCAAAAACTCTTCATAAGATGTTGTGGCCCTTGCTCACATGAATGGCAAATTCATAATTCATTTGGCAGGATCCTCAAAGTGCACCATTTGTCTCAGGGGACCCGTTCTTCTTGAGATAGCGAAAGTAACAAACCACTTAAGAAACCTTATTTGCCTTCATGGAGATGTCCAAGCCCTTTACTTTGCTAGCAAAACCAACCTACCTCCTTTCAGAGAGCCCTGTCTCCTTCTCAATAAGCTGACGTTGAACAACGACACAAGTTGCATTTCCTTATACCTTGATCAACCCGAGACAAGACCATAGAGAACACAACACGCAGCTGGTGTGAAGAAAATTCATCTGAACTCTGTGTGTCTGTGAAAAACAACCTGAGTTGTCTTTAGTCTGTGAAGACGTTGGCCGGTTGGCCACCCTTTGCCTGGGTGCTGGATGGAATGGATTTCTTGGACGCATGGTTTCTCATGAAGTTGCAAAACGGACACTTCAAGTGCAGCAAACTTAACGGGGGTTGAGCTGCCTGTGGCATTGGATCTACAAGCCATCCACCAAACCCGAACCCGATTGCGACATCGATCACCACCCATGGACTGTCTTGCATTATATTCAACGAAGCAGCATGGCCAGGAAGACCTGTGAATCACCAAGAGAGTAGAAGAGGTTCATGTCCTTACTAGCTTGGACTTGTGTTCATCGGCGAAGGAAGTGGAAACGCTACACAAATGACGATGAATTGAAAATCAAAAAGCGCCTGAGGCCAACAACTTAGCTCATGTCCGTCGCCGCCTTCACCGCGAAAGTGTAGATCGTGCCCATAATTATCTGGCAACCGAGTCATTTGTGGCTATGGAGCAAGAAACACAACTTCCAATGGTGAGGAACCGGAATCAAACCAGACATTGCTTTCGCGATGCATGAGAGAATGTGCATATGCGGCCGCAACCCATATCATGGACGATAGCCATAGCTCTCTGACAACAAGAACTGGGAGAAGAGATCAATGAGAACAGTAAGGCAAAGATTGACATTGAAATTGCTGTGTCATAGTCATATGCCCCAAATGGCCCCAAGCAACTTCAATTCAAAGATCCACCATTCCTGGAGCACCTATAGTCTATAGTACCCAAATCGTTTCCCAGAGGCACACACAAAATGAAACGAAACAAACCTGGTCAAGACACAAGACAAGAAAAAGGCCTCAAGGGAGCACGGACGCTACTAGGGGCTCTTGGCATCGCTACTAGGGGCTCCTGGCCGTACTACTAATAGGAGCAATGTTCGCTACTAGGGGCCCAGTGTTTCCCAAAATCACAAGATGCAGCACATGGGCACGGCAACGCTGGGAAAGTCTGCTTGACGCACCTGCGAACTAAAACACAAGAACGGAAGGAGAAAGAGCCGAGCTGGAAAGCAAGCGAGGATGCAGAACTGGAGTCTGAATTGAAGAGTGTAAAAAATACAATTGCTGTTATGTTATATACTATTTCTATACTGTATATATATAAATATCGACCGCAGCGTCTAAATTGACCCCTCTTCGACCACACACACACACCATCAGTTTAAGTTTAGACAGACTGGCGGCGCTTCATAGGGTGCCATTCCCTTAATTGAGGGGGAGGGGGCGCCCTTTAGTCAAGGCAGTCCTGAGATGCAATGGCGGCTGGCAACCATGGAATGCACATCCCAAAGTTCAGCATGACCCACGCCAAGAGGAAGCAACTCACGTTGTAGGGCTGGCCAGTCAAAGAATGCCAAAACCATCGGATTCCTGAAAGCCTTAGTGAAGCAAATCCAAGCGAGACATTGATTACAGAATTTATTCCTCCGCACCTAGGTAAAACATGATGACGCCCTGCACGAGGCCTTCAGCCTAATTGTGACAGGCTTGCCCTTGGTCGGTTGGACACCTCAGCCCAATTTCTGCTGATGACGCCCTTTGGACAAGAATCGGAGTGCAATCCATCGGAGCGCTTCGAGAATCTCAGTACGTACTTTCTTGAGATTGTAACAAAATAGTTCTAATGGCCACCAGGTGGGAGATCGCTTGCGCACAGGAGCACAGGAGCGCGGGCCTAAACAAATGCACATTGCCCCCACGTTTCAGTGGTTTCTTCCAAGGCGATGGTCAAGGCCTGCTCTAGACTCTAGAATCGTAGGGGCCTTAACAAGCCTAGCAGGGGGGCCTTTTACAAAAGCAATGCTTCCTGAAAGATAACATCAAGAAGCTACGAGTAGTTCCTGGCATTATTACTAGTAACAAATAGCTATATACTAGTAACAAACGGGCACCACTACTAGAAGCTACTAGTGTCAAAGGGCATTACTATTAGTAGCAAAAAGCTACTAGTAACAAAGGGCCTCCCTTTCAGTAGCAAGAAGTTACTAGTAACAAAGACCCGTACTACTAGTAGCAAGAAGATACTAGTAACAGTATCAAAGGGCGATACTACTAGTAGCAAGAAGCTACTAGTAACAAAGGGCATTCCTACTAGTAGCAAGAAACTACTAATATCAAGGAACATCACTAGTTTTAGCATCAAGCTACTATATAGTAACAAAGGGCCTTACTACTAGTAGCAAGAGACTACAAGTAACAAAGTGAATTACTACTAGTAAGTAGCAAGAAGCTACAAGTAGAGGGCGGTACTACTAGTAGCGAGAAGCTACTAGTAACAAAGGGCAAGACCCGTACTAGTAGTAGCAAGAAGCTACTAGTAGTAAAGGGCGTAACAAAGGGCCGTACTACTAGTAGCAAGAAGCTACTAGTAACAAAGGGCATTACTACAAGTAGCAAGAAGCTCCAAGTAACAAAGGGCATTGCTACTAGTAGCAAGGGGCTACTAGTAACAAAGGGCATTACTACTAGTCGCAGGACGCTACTAGTAACAAAGGGCATTACTACTAGTAGCTTCTTGCTACTAGTAACAAAGGGCATTACTACTAGTAGTAAAAAGCTACTAGTAACAAAGGACATTACTACTAGTAGCAAGAAGCTACTAGTAACAAAGAGCATTTCTACTAGTAGCGAGAAGCTACTAGTAACAAAAGGGATTACTACTGGTAGCATGAAGCTACTAGTAACAAAGGGCCGTACTACTTGTAGCAAGAAGCTACTAGTAACAAAGGGCCTTACTACTCGTAGCAAAAAGCTACTAGTAAGAATGGGCCCTACTACTGATAGCAAAACGCTACTTGTAAGAAAGTGCGTTAGCAGTAGCAAGAAGCTACTAGTATCAAAGGGCATTACTACTGGTAGCCAGAAGCTACTAGTAACAAAGGGCGTTACTGCTAGTAGCAAGCAGCTACTAGTAGCAAAGCGCGTTATTCTAGTAGCAAGAAGCTACTAGTAACAAAGGGCCTTACAACTAGTAGCAAGAAGCTACCAATAACAAAGGGCCTTACTACTAGTAGCAAGAAGCTACTAATAACACAGGGCCTTACTACTGGTAGCAAAAAGCTACTAGTAACAAAGGGCAATACTGCTAGTAGCAAAAGGCTGCTAGTAACAAGGAGCATTATAAGAAGCTACTAGTAACAAAGTGCACTACTACTAGTAGCAAGCAGCTACTAGCAACAAAGGGCATAAATACTAGTAGCAAGAAGCTACTAGTAACAAAGAGCATTACTACTAGTAGCAAAACGCTGCTAGTAACAAATGGCATTGCTACTAGTAGCACGAAGCTACTAGTAGCAAAGGGCATTATTACTAGTAGGGAGAAGCTACTGGTAACAACGGGAATTACTACTAGCAGCAAGAAGTTACTAGTAACTTAGTAACTACTAGTAGCAAGAAGCTACTGGAAGCGAAGGGCGATACTACTGGTAGGAAGAAGCTACTACTAGCAAAGCTCATTACTACTAGTAGCAAGAAGCTACTACTAACAAAGGGCGTCTCTACTAGTAGAAATAAACTAGCATTACTACTAGTAGCAAGAAGCTACTACTAACAAAGGGCATGACTACTAGTAGCAAGAGGCTACTAATAACAAAGGGCACTACTACTAGTAGCAAGAAGGTACTAGTAACAAAGGGCATTACTACTAGTAGCAAGAGACTACTAGCAACAAAGGACATTACTACTAGTAGCAAGAGGCTACTAGTAACAAAGGGCATTATTACTAGTAGCAGGAAGATACAAGTAGCAAAGGGCATTGCTACTAGTAGTAGCAAAGGGCATTGCTACTAGTAGCAAGAAGTTACTAGTAACAAAGGGCATTACTACTAGTAGCAAATGGCACTACTATTAACAAAGGGCATTACTACTAGCAGCAAGAAGCTACTAGTAACAAAGGGAATTATTACTAGCAGCAAGAAGTTACTAGTAACTTAGTAACTAGTAGTAGCAAGAAGCTACTGGTAGCGAAGGGCATTACTACTGGTAGGAAGAAGCTACTGGTAGCAAAGGGCATTACTACTAGTAGCAAGAAGTTACTAGTAACAAAGGGGACAACTACTAACAGCAAGAAGCTATTGCTAGCAAAGCGCACAACTACTAGTAGCAAGAAGCTACTAGTAACAAAGGGCATTGCTACTAGTAGCAAGAAGCTGCTAGTAACAAAGGGCATTACTACTAGTAGCGCAAAGCTACTACAATATTTCTAGTAGCAGGAAGCTACTGGTAACAAAGGGCATTACTACTAGTAGCAAGAAATTACTAGTAAAAAAGGCCCCTACTACTAGCAGCAAGAAGCTACTGGTACCAAAGGGTATTACAAGTAGCAGCAAGAAGCTACTAGTAACAAAGGGCATTGCTACTAGTGGCAAAAAAATGCTAGTTACAAAGGGCATTTCTACTAGTAGCAAGAGGCTACTAGCAACACAGGGCATTACTACTAGTGGCAAGAAGCTACTAGTAACAAAGGGCATTACTACTAGCGCAAGCAGCTACTAATAACAAAGGGCCTTACTACTAGTAGCAAGAAGCTACTAGTAACAAAGGGCATGACTACTAGTAGCAAGAAGCTACCTTGCTACTAGTAGCGTAGGGAATTACTACTAGTACCAAGAAGCTACTAGTAACAAAGGGCACTGCTACTAGTAGAAAAGAACTAGCATTTCTACTAATAGCAAGAAGCTACTAGTGAAAAAAGGGCATTACTATTGGTAGGATTAAGCTACCAGTAACAAAGGGCAGTACTACTAGTACTAAGAAGTAGCAAAGGGCATTACAACTAGTAGCAAGAAGCTACTCCTAACAAAGGGCATAAGGCATTACTAATAGTAGCAAGAAGCGGCTAGTAACAAAGGAAATTACTAGTAGCAAGGGACTACTAGCAACAAAGGACATCACTACTAGTAGCAAGAGGCTACTAGTAACAAAGGGTACTACCAGTAGAAGCACGAAGCTACTAGTAGCAAAGGGCATTGCTACTAGTAGCACGAAGTTACTAGTAACAAAGGGCATAACTACTAGTAGCAAAGGGCATTAGTACTAGCAGCAAGAAGCTACTAGTAACAAAGGGCATGACTACTAGTAGCAAGAAGCTACTGGTAACAAAGGACATTACTACTAGTAGCAAGAAGCTACCAGTAACAAACGGCATTACTACTAGTAGCAAAGGGCATTACTACTGGTAGCAAGAAGCTACTAGTAGCAAACGGCATCACTACTAGTAGCAAGAAGTTAATAGTAACAAACGGCACTACTACTAACAAAGGGCATTACTACTAGGAGCAGTAGCAACAAGCTACTAGCTAGCAAAGGGCATTACTACTATTAGCAAGAAGCTACTAGTAACAAAGGGAATTACTAGTAGCAAGAAGCTAGTAGTAGGAAAGGGCATTACTACTAGTAGCAAGCAGTTACTAGTAGCAAAGGGCATTACTACTTGTCGATGAGTGACCCCTCTGTTGATCCTGCTGACCGCATGCCGTATAGGCACAAGGGTTTCTCGAGGTAAAAGGACCGCGCCCCTTTCAGTTTACATTGGTAGCGTTGAGCCGGCGCTGTGCTCTTTGGGCACAGCTTCTAGGGTACTTTTTGCTGGACTTCGTGAAGTCCGCGTTCCATTTTTCTGGACTGAACCGCCACCACCGCTAGGTGCTGCTCCCCAAACATAGTAACTGTTCCATTGTTTCCATTCAGCCTCCGACCATTCTCTCCGTTCCCAAGACCTCTCGGAAGTCCTCATCGATCCGGCGCCTTCTTGTTCTTCGGGTCGCTCTCCTCCATCATGTTCTGGTTCTTCAACCCTGGCACCTCCAGGTGAAGGCATAGCGTCCTCCAATTGCCCCCTATAGTAGACCCCACGAGCCACCCTCGGTGGGCCGTCTTCTTCGCTAGAGGGTTCTGCAGCACCCACCATTACTTGTGGTGCTCAGGGTGATCTTGGTGGACCTCGCACGGTGGAGACCCTTGGCAAGGTGGAGAAGACCGTCGCGGGGGGGCCGGTGGTCACGACAAGATCCAGGTCCCCGAGTACTCAGGAGAAGATGACCGTGATGGTTTGAAAGCAAAGGGCTACATCTGGCGAGAACGGGGTGGAGATCTTTCTATCCTGGATCCAGGACAAGTACATGGATCGAGAAGTCACTAAAGTGGGTCGCTACATGCCTGACTTCTTCAAGGTGCTCAAAAGGGGGGCAAACCAGGACATCCGGGACTTCAACCAGGAGTTCGACCGACAGGTATAAGCCGAATGAAAGAAGTGGGATGCTCTTTGCCCGACACACGCCTTGCCTGGTGGTATGTCGACAAGATGAGATTGGACAATGCCACAGAGGTCAACCTCCTCTCCTCTGTGGGGAACCTCTACAGCCTGAACAAGCTCCAGGATGCCGCTATCATGAACCCCACCGTCTCTGGGAGAGACGACACGATGGAGACAGACGCACTGAGGACAGGGAGAAGGACAAGAAGAAAGGTCTCGTTCTTTCGATTCCATTGGTCCCGTCAAGGTATCATGGA